CAGCGACTCGCTTCCCACCAGATTCGATCCTCGGATCCTCGGATCCTCGGATCACCAATCGCCGGTCGCCAGGAGCTACCTGCCGAAATAGCCATCCTCGGTCCAGTGAGCCCAATGAACGCATGACGCTGTGGAAATAACGTTTTTCATTGGACGACTTGGCCACAGTCCGTGGCTGTCAGCAGGACCTGCCTTTGGGCTGCGAAGCACCGAACTTCGCCGGGCGTCATGGCTTCTTCTTTGTTGTGTTGGAGGAGAGGTCTTGTCCGCCTTGGACCGGAGGACTAGTCTGGTCTTTCTTGACTCTGACTTGCCCTTCTTCCAGGCCCCACCGTGACATTGTCTGACGAGTTGAGTTCAGTTGAGACACGTGACGTGACCAAGGTGTCGTATTGTCCGCAATGCAACGTGAGAGTATGAATGCACGGTATGAACGATGTATGGATGTACGATGTGCAAGAACGCATCACGCATCCATACATTCATTCTTCCTGGACCTGAACCTCTGCGCCGTGTTCCTTGCAGGCGAGCTGGTGGCGCAGTCCGACAAGACGAGAGGACAGGGTCTCTTTCGTGAGCTATCCCCACCTGGCAGGGAGGGCATTAGTAAGGGGGCATGATGCCTGCGTCGCCCCTTTTCGCAATCTGCCTGCTCGCCACTGTGGCAGCAGCAGTGACGGGCTTCCCCCTCAGTGGGGGCTCAACATACGCGTGTGTAAACGACCGGACCTGCGAAAGCGGCAACGGCTGCCCATGCAGTGAAGGGGAGCAGATGCCGCTCGACGGAATGGCCAAAAGGGTCAGGCAGATGGGAGGGCGGCTGGATACTCTGCATGTGTCGGGAATGAACGTGACATCACTGGAATTTCTGGAAGGAGAGCTGACAGAAGTGAAAGGCGCCCTCGTTGTGCGCCACACTGGTTTGACGAACTTCTCTGGGCTGGACGGCTTGACTGCAGTGGGAGGCAACATGGTACTGGAGGACAACCCTTTCCTTCAGGATTTGGGCGGCCTGGCCAGCCTGGCTAGTGTGGGGAGATTGCAGATTGCGGGGAATTCTGCACTTCGCGACATCGGTGGGCTGGGCAGCTTGACCGCTGCGGGTGGTTTGACGATTGCCTACAACGGTGGGCTTCACAACATGAACGGCTTCAGCGAACTCCGAACCGTATATGGTGATATGAATATCGGTCCTAGCAACGCGCTTCACAAAATAGACGGTCTCGGAAACGTGACGACTGTGCTCGGCTCTTTGAGGATATTTGACAATCACAATCTTTCCGAGACTGGAGTGAGCAGCCTAGCCCACCTGCACCGCGTCGAAGGGGACTTGAACATATCAGGGAATTCTAGACTTCGCAGCTTGGGTGGGCTGGGTGCTTTGACCTATGTGGATGGAAGTTTAACCATAGCCAAAAACACCGATCTGCGATACATCAGCAGCTTCAGCAGCTTGCGAGCTGTTTACGGCGATGTGAACATCGGACCTGGGAATGACGTTCGCTACATTGGCGGATTCGGAAACTTGTCTACTCTTAAGGGTTCTTTCAAAATTGTTGGCAACGCTAAGCTAAGGAGCGTTCATGGTTTGGGGCAGCTGAAAGCGATTCAGGGGAGCTTAGACATTAAGGGCAACGGAGCCCTGACCTTTATGAACGGGTTTGGGCAACTGGAGGAAGTCAATGCTAATACAACGATCGAATCCAACATTTGGCTTCAGAACATGGGTGGTCTGAGAAGCCTCGCTTTCATAGGCAATGATCTTGTCCTGTCAGATCTGAGCCTGGCATCGAGTGACCTCCCAAACTTGACTACAATAGGGGGAAGTGCTTTTATAAGAGGGAATAAAATTTACAACCAGGGTTTGACGAACCTGACAAAAGTTGGCGGGACGCTTCTAGTAGAGTCAAATGACTTCAGGAACAGTACCTTTCTCAATTCTTTGCAGACACCTTGCAGCAAACCACATATCTCGCGAAACTGTGGCATCCAAATCAAGAACAACCGAGACTACCTTCTGGCGGATGCTTTTCCACAGCTTACGGGGTTCAATGGCAGGCTGACAATAACTGGAAATATTGGAACAGAAAAAGTATCCGGTTTTCAGAAATTGCGGCACCTTACGCCGCGGAACAGCTCGACGTGGAGGGGGAGTGCATCAAGCGGAAGGGCGGGCAGCATTGTTGGCACCCTTGTCATTGAGTTCAACCAAAATCTGAAGTCAGTTGAAGGGTTCAATTCTCTCTCTGATGTGGAAGGCCATGTTCTCGTAATGGGCAACCCCCTTTTGAGGCGATTTGTTATGAGAAGCTTGAGGACAGTAAAGGGCTCGACGCAGATATTTCACAACGGTGACGACATGTACGATTTCATATCTGTGGAGCCGCTGCCCTTCTTAGAGACTGGCTGCCATAGCCGCAGCGACGACATTGAACATCTGGAACCCTCATCCAGTAACGTGTCTGGCAGTTTGAACCCCTCGAGTGTGGGCATCTTTTCCGAAGAAGCCCCAGCGTTCATGACTAGCTTGGTGAGCAAAAGGTGCAAGGCTGAAAGGCTATTTCCCTCTCTGGTTGGTTTCTCCATTATAGCCTTCATGGGAATAATATCTCTATTCTTCCTTTGGTACATCTTGTCGAGCTATCGTCATTGGGGGGCAAGTAGCAGGGCGAAATTGGGGGACGCGTTTGCCGCTCATGTCTTGGCGCTGGCTGACCTGTTGTCCGACATTGGATTCATCATTACGGCCTTCGTCGTTTGGCAGGGCCAGGACCCATATGAGCAAGACCACAGGCTGTTTGTCATCGGGTGCTTCAGTACTTTGGTGCTGGTGAACTCGCAGGCGTACATGGTCATTTGCATCCTGTATGGGTTGAGATACGTCTCCGTACACGACCAGGGACAGGTGCCATTGATACAGCACCTGAGAGATGAAGGCAGAATGCGCCTGCGCGACTGGCTCCTGCTGTTTCCGGGACTGTTGGTCTCCGACGCATCGATCGTGAAGTACCTGCCCTGGGGAGAGGGTGTCATTGACGACGAGGATGAGAAGGCTCACGGCTTTCCGCACGAGTACTTTGCGAAAGTGGCCGTCACTGCCGCCGCGCTGGAGGATTTGCCGCAGATGCTTCTTCAGGTTGCGTTCGTCCTTGTCGCAGAGGGAAATGAGGGCTGGGCCATCATTGGGGCGATGGCGTCCTTGGCGTTGTCAGTGGGGGACTTCATGGTCAAGGTGGTGTTTCCAATGTCGGTGAAAGGTGTTACGAAGCCTTCTGTGTAATTGCTGCCTTCTGATGCCTCAACGCGTTCAAGAATGAGTGTGGACCGTCGAAAAGCCTTGTAAACGCACTGCACACTGCTGAGGTCTCTTGAGCTTCTTGAAGGAAATTAGAATTTGATGGCGGTGGTACGTGTGCTGAGCCTCTGCAAAGTCACTATGCAACAAATCGTTGCCGCCAACGCGACTTTGAATAACGTGGGAACGCGGCTCCACGACCGATATACACAGCTTATTTATTGCGCGGCCCTCCCGGCCCCCAAGAAGAAACAACGCTGCAGGCAAAGTCACCACAACGTTTTGCCAATGCAAAAAGCAACCTGTCTTTTGCTCAGAGGTGTGCCCTTCAGTTAGGGCTGGAATGCCCAAGGTAGTGGGCGTCGACGAGCATTCCATATCCGAAGCTACCGATCAGCAATAAAAGAGGCATTCAACCCCAGGTTGGTCCCTAACGTGTCAATTAGTCGCCCTGCCACCGCATTGAAACGCGCATTAGCCTTGGGTCTCAAACGCCGCGGCAGAGAAGATGAAATTGCTACATTTTCCAGGAACAACAACCAGAATCCTCTCGTAGGGAAATCTAGGAAATCACATGAGCTTCCTGACCATCAACAACCAGCATTGCTCACATCCCATTGCACTCAGTGGCGTTGCAGAAGCAGCCTGCTAGCGACGCTACGGAAAGCACTCCAACACATTTAAGCGGCCCTTGCCACGTTCGATATCATACACGCCCGCTTTGGCGTCTGTGCAAACCTTCTCCAGCAATCAGACAGCACCCGATGAATGCACGATGCACGAGCAATTGCATTTTATAAATGGCAGCTAATTAGATGCCCTTGCATTTTCGTTCGGCTCTCCGCCGGTCACTTGAGAGTCCACAACTGCGAAGTTCCGGGGGCCATGCTGCTTGCGGCCTCTCGCCGCCGTTGGCTGGAGAGCCTGAATTCCACCCGATAGCCACCCTTTGCGGATCGCAGGACCACAGCCACACTTTCGTGGCCAGGAAGATTTGAAGGCCAAAATTTTCGGAGGGCAGGAAATACCAGGTGGGGGCAAAGTTCGCAGGTGTATATTTAGACATAGATTCAGACATATGCTATGTACTTCAGAGCCATCGACTTCGTACCCTTTTCACAGCTGCAGTGAAGCTAGATGCACACAGCGCTTGGCTTATATCCAACACGCCGGGCGTGCCCTCCACTGCAAACACGCAGCCGACAGAACAAAACAAGCTACCTTGGAACAGCACATCACCCAAGAATGACCCAGCCGCCAAAAAGAATTGTCACCCGACATCAACCGGTCAGCGACGGCGCCTCGACTGCGCAACTTCCACCCACACATTTTGCAACCTAAACTTCCAAAAGCGCACCATCATCCCGATGATTGTCGCCTCTCTGAAAAACAAACAAATTCCATCAACGCAGGCGCGGAGAAGCAGACACGCCTCCCAACCCCACCAACCGCAACGCCATGCTTGAAAGCCAGGCCGCCACTTCTCTCGCAATCCCTTCTTCCATCCACCCCGCGGCCAGCACAATCGCCACCTCCCTCTCCGCGCCACTCAAACGCGATTCCAATCTGGCGCCACTTCGGAAACCGCTCCGCCGTTTCAACACCATCCGCACACGCGGCTCCAGCCCGAGTATCGCAACAGCGCCGCTCCTTTTCATTTTCGGCATTTTTTGCATTTCCTCCTTTGATTTTTTGCATTTTGCGGCTAGGCCGAGCCTGTGTGCTGCGCGGGCTCCGTCACCAGCTTCCCGTCCACAAACTTGCTCACGAATTGCTCGGGAATCGGGAACTCCTCGCAGTCCTGCTCGCCGGTGACCACAATGTTGATGGCGCTGGACTGGGCCACCGTCACCGCGACGTCCATGGAGGTGTGCGGAACGTACAGCTGGCAGCCGTCGCACCTGTCGACGGCCACCATTGCAAACATTAATCGTTAATCGTATTATTTGACCGTCGTTGACGATTAACCGTGTTATTCACCATGCCAGTTATACACAATATTTAACCTTCCAAGGGGTGAGAGACACGTTCCTGTTTTCTCTTTTGTTTTCGGATTCCAAAATATTTGCATCACATGTCAGCGTCCAGGTGCCTCCCCCGTCCCGCCACAAGATATGCGGGCCTTGGGTAAGACACCCGCTCGTCAAAATACCGGAGTTGTTGACAACCGAGGACTAAAGCGAAACCGGAGAAAAAGCGAACAATTAGGGTTTGCGAATTGTGGCTAAGGTATTTTCCCCCGCCAGACAGGCAAAAGAGCGAGCGTCACTGCAGCTGCCAAAATGCGCTGCCCGTCCACCGTCTTCAAGGCGGCCACAAGCATCGCTCCATCCGCATAGGTTGTTCAGCATCGCTGTCCTACCCACTGGAGCCAGAAACGCCCGAGGTCCGAAATGGGCGAGCAAATAGCCAAAGCCCCTTGCAGTTAGTTGGCCGCTGGGTCAGCATGACCAAATATCGTCAGAAGAAGAAGCATATCTTGGGTATACACATCCAGGATCACAGGGATATCCTGGGTATGTATATCCAGGATATGGGGTGCACACATCCTGTTGGATATCCATGATATGGGACATTTTACCAACGACGGTTCTCTAGTGGCGGGCAGAGGATCGTGGGAGCATCAGCGTGCTCATTCACCTCGGGGTTTCAACCGTGCAAGGTTATTCTACCACATGGCAAGAAACGCAATGACTTGACTGACATGGCTATTCTGGCAATTGCTGTCCACTATTTCCCAGAAAGCAGCGCTGTAAAGCAGGCGGTTGTTGGACTGGGTGCGCCTGGCAGTCCTCTCACTTGTCGACGGCCAACGTGGAGATGTGGCCTGTGCATTGGACCTCTGCGCGCTTGCAGTTGACGACCTCCACCGAGGCAAGGACGCTGTCGAAGACCAGGCCCGTGCGGCTGCAATTGTCCATCGTGATAGCATTCAACTTGCCCTTCACCTGAACGCGCAAATGAGTTTATCACATTTTCGAAATAGGAAGATGTCTGGAAAGAATCCGAATACGCAGCTTCATTGGGCTTAGATGAAGCTGTTGGGCTGCATGCAAGCACACATTGCACTCAGCGGAGGCACTTGCTTTGACAAGTGTGTTGAAGTACACAACGCGCCAATGAATGCATTCAAGCATTGATTCATTCCACTTGCAATCTGAAAGAGTGAAGAAAAGGCACAGCACCTGCTGAGAGGGGCAAGCGGCTATCCCACCTGGACAACGCAATCTTCGCATTTGAAGATGTACAGGGTGTGCTTGGAGTTGTTGTCTTCAATAAGGATCTCATGGTTGCCCTTGTGGTGCTCCACTTCCCACTTACGATCGGCCACCAGCTCTGTGCGCCCAGGGGGAGGAGCTGGCTTTTCCTTGGGCTTGCCTGAAACGTGCATTTGCCAATCATTGTGAGGTCAGTGTAGACTGCTCGCAAGGTGACGAATCATCACTGACGATGTTGATTATTTGAAATCAGCGGAGACACACGACACAACAAATGTGTTGATTCTTTCATGTTGCCTGTAAGGATGTTCCACCTGACACATGCACAATGGAGACCTTTCTTCTGTCTTTCATATGTTTCCTTTGACGCCATGGCCACAGCATTGCTGCTGTTCTCGAAATGCAATTCCAGACATTGCCCTCCTGTTCTGTCCTTTTGTCGCATCAGCGATGACCAACATTCCAACTGCAGATCCCAGGGAAACCCTTGGAGGATTGTGCACCATATAGTCACAGTGGGCAAATGTAGGTCACGGCATGCTGCTCCACAAGATGTGCCTGCTGTAAGGGAAGTTTCCTTCTTGCTCACAAGAGCAATCTTCATCCTAGGGATGCAGGAGGCTCACCAACGGCAGCAGGCTTGGTGGCGGCAGGCTTGGTGGTGGCAGGCTTGGTGGCAGCAGGTTCTTTGGCAGCTGGTTCTACTTTCTTCAAAGCCACCGCAGCGGCCGCTGCTGCTGCCGCAGCGACTGCATTTCCCACAGCCGGCGCTGCTTGAACGCCAGCCTTCTGCTCTGCTGGAGCCTCTGCATCACCTTCAAGCTTCTTCAGACCCTGCCAGACGACCGTGGCCTTGTCAAACTCTCCCTTTCTCAAGTGTACGGGCAACTTGTCAACACCACTCCAGTAAGGTACAAATGTGATACTGACTGGTGCCTGGCATGTATATGGCATGTGGAAACTCAGACCTCTGAATCGACACAGGGGTCTGCCAATATTCTGTCACTGTTTAAAACTAAAATCTGTCAGAGCTTTGCAGGGCGCATGGAATATAATGGCAATCTGCTGATGACTTCAAGATTCCAATAAGAATCTGGTCAAATTCTCTATAGACTTTAGAAAGACTATCACAACAATTTTGAGCCCAACAAATCCCAAGCTGATCAGAAAAGTACGCATACCTGAACCTTTGAGCCCCACAACTGAAACTTCTTGCCAAGCAGACACTTGCAACCTGCCACTTGGCATTGGGTAACAGGGGCAAGGGCACTTTCCACATTTGTAAAAAGAAATCAATGCAGGGGTGTATGCAGGGAGCCTCTGCATGTTTTCCTTTCTGCTCCGGGCATCTACTAAGGGATAAGCAAAACAACGCTGACCATCACTCACCCAATGGGGTTGCGCATGCCAGCTCGTTCCTTCTTTCTGGCTCTTCTGCCAGGCAAGGATTCAATGGGCAGCTGCAGAGAATTGATTGGCATTGTATACAACGTCCAGCATATATCTGCAGGCGCCTTACTGCTACGTTTGATTAACTGTGAGACACATGCCTGGACTCAAACTCACTCCGTGGGTTGAAGGGAATGCCTTCACAGGTGTCCGTGCATGAGTGCCAATATCAAAAGCATAATCCACGCATACTTACACGATGAAAGCAACCAAGACTGGTAAAATACAATCAAAGCAGAATCACACGCACCTTCTTTGCATCTGTCAGGCTGGCAGTCAATTCATCAGGCTTTTCCACTTTGTCGGCCTGCCAGGCTTGGGTGGGCCCAGGTTTCTGGGCAGGGGGCTTCTCCTCCTGCACAGGCGGCGGAGGAGGTGGTGCTCCAGAAGCTTCCCACACAATCATGCCAGTGTCAGTTGGGCACCCAACGATCGGTTTGACAAGGGGATTTGTGGCTTCCATTCAGTGGCCAGATTAAGACACACTCTGCCTAGGCTCATGTGCCTTATGATCCACTCTGGGTGGAATTCACTCCTTCGATTTTGGAATCATCTTGACTATTGGTTACAAAATGGGCGCAGGGCTTATGTGATAAGAGTGCAATACATCATTATGTATTTGCCCAGCACATAACTGGACTGTGCACCATAGTATACATTTGTGTACTTCTAAACACATGAATTGCAACATTATAGTTTGTGTGTTAGGTAGTAAAACTTCTATCCACACTGCCCTGAAAGGATATTGACCACTTCAAGGATTGCCACATACTCTTCAATACTAATACACTCTAATAAGAATTATTAAAGCGTACATTAGGAAATATATATTGTTGAGAGTATTAACACTATTATATTATTACTATTCTTACTAAGATTTATTTCAAACGAGCCCACCTGTGCAATACCCGGATAACAGAAAATGGCGTGCCTGCAACGGCATGCATTGCTTACAGCAACTGGGTGCCTTTGGTTTGAGATTCAGCTGCAATGCCCTGAGCAGCTTGTTGAAAGTCAGCAACACTTTCACTGATGCCTTCAATTGGGGTTTGCTCAATTGCAGCCAGTTTCAGCGACATTGAACAGAGCTGCAGCTGGTCAGCCAACAGAGGTGGCTGTGGAGATACAGTGGCGCTAGTGGGTCTTCAGTGACTGATGTGCCTGGCACAGAGGTTTCGCATGCTGTTTGCAACCTTGGTCATGTCATTTTGCCAGATCGTGGTGCTTTCGCAGGGTTGGCAGCGAGGGGCAGCCATGCACATGCAGCTTTCAGTTTTGTGTTCCCTGCATAAGCATGCTTTTCCTCAGTCCCTGCACTGAGCTTCGCTAGCCACAAACACGTCTTCTTACCACAGGTCCTGAGTGTTGCCCAGAATCGAGCGATGGGGCCACAAACAGTCACCGCCAACTTGCTGCCCCCCTTTGAATCGCAAAACTGTACGATGGCAAACTTGAAGACAATATACTCTCTTCTTTCTGCAAAATTTTTCTGCAACAGCACGACAGCTATACTGTTACCGATTCATTATGTGTGATGCTGGAATGGGGCTGCCTGCATTGACTGTCTGGTCGCTTCATGGGCTGCCCTCACTTAAATATTCTTGGACTGACACTCCCTCCGCATTCCATTGTGGCCCTGCAGGGTGATACTTGGCCACAAACGTCTTCATCCCCTTTATGGCATCCTGCGACACGAAGGAAGGGGTTCTCTCACCAACAGGGAGGGCATCAAGACCTCAATCCAGCACATTTTCAGGTCCTAATTCAAATCGACATGTTACGATTGGCAAAGGATGCCCCATTAAGAAATTCTTTTGACACCATTTATGATAAAGAATTGTGAGCACGTTGGTGGGAGACATATTGCAATTTGCCGAATGCATGTTTCGAATGCTTGTGACATTGAATCGAGTTTTGTAAGCTCCAGACAGAACAATGTGGGTACCGATCGTATCATTGAAAGCCATTCACTGCAGCATCAAGCTTTTCAAGTTGTAAATGGCCTTCTCCTTTAAGGCCAAATCTAACAGTGAAGCACCCTATTAGAGGAGTATTGTGGAGGTCAGCAGTGCAGCGTCCTTGGCAATGGATCGAGAGATTCCGAATATGCACTGACCCCTGAACCAGTACAATTATGCAATGCAACGAAGCATGAGTCATCTGAGTGGTGACAAAGCAAGGAATTTCTGAAGAATTGGCCAGGTTCATCCAACTGAAGCACTCACCTTGACTGCGGCGATCCACTCTGAGTGTGTGACATCCTTTGACCTGTAGATCTTGAGGGCCTTGTTGCCATAGAACTCTGCACTCTGCAGTGTGCTCTCAACATGTGTCACAGGGCTACCCTCCCCTGCTTTCCAAAAACATTCATGCTTAAAGTGAAGCACTGCTGCATCTTGTGCAGTTTGATGAAAAACCACATGGCCACTGGCAGCGACGTGTGACAAATAGTCGCTCAACCAGTGCACTCCTGTACAGTTGGTGGTGCCTCCGCAGTTGTATCCCATAAAATCATCTTGAGCACCCCCAAAGCTTGTTTGACTGGTCAGTGCCAAAAGCCATGTACTCATCACAATGCTGGTTGCCTCGCCATGGCCGCTTCAGGCATTGCACCACTGTACCTGTTCTCAGTTGGGTTTTCAGGTATCAACAGCAGTGTGGATGATGTTTTGCCAGATGTTGTCTTGGAGCTGCAATGGTATTGATTTGTCACTTTCTGACTGATCCAATCAAAGGACCAGCACATTTGGTGTCTGCAAGCTCAGCACCCTGACTTGTTTTACTTTCAGTTGTTCCTTACTGTGATGCACTACCGTAATTCAACACTTCTGCATAGCAGCGCAACGCTTGGCCTGTTTTCGCAGAGAAAACACTGAAACAAACAGCAATCTTCTAACGAAATTTTTGCGGAGCAACATCGAAAAATATGAATAACGCTCTCATAAATAAAACAAACGCAGAGCAAAAACCAGTTAATGGTAAAATTGTTTGAAGTGGAGGGGCTGAATAACACTACAGCATTCTGCTGCTGCCCCCAAACAGCCCTTACAAATGCCCGCATCCTGCTGCCAGCAAGGCACTCATTCCCAGAATAGCTCTTGTCTGTTGTCGAGCCCTGGATGACTTACGGACCGCTGCCTGTGAATGCTGTCCACGTCAAGGCCTGCAGGCCCTCTGCGATCATCTTGAGATGGTTGTTGGCTGCAGACCTGCAGTGCTCTGCCTTGTTGGTGGCCGACACCAGCAGGTCCCCCGCAGGTGCAAGGAGCTTCTGCAGGTCTGGTAGTGCTGGCCTCTGGGGTGACACAAATTGAAACGGTCTCAAACAGATGGGCCAACATTCTGGATCATGCACAGCGAATTGTGCGAAAAGCAGCGCGCTTGTCAGCACAGAAGGGAATGCACAGGGATGGTGGCACTGTCACAGAGGTTCTGTGCGTTTGGTTAATGCTGTCAGAGGATTGGCACACCTGAGTAATCCGAAATCACCAGGATACAAGAACATTTCGAGATTGTCAGTTGGCAACTGAAGGGAATAAAGGATGCAACTCTGGGTTTGCAAATGTGGCCTTTGACACCCTACCTAGGGACAAGGTTATTTGCATTCTGTTGGCTGTGTTACATTGTGCTATCATCGCCACACCCACACAATAAAATTATTTCCATACGGAAGCTGACAATGGGTGACCAGCCCCACGCCCCCCTCTTTTCCCCGTCCTACTCCTTTAACGACCAAGGATCATAGTGTCCTAGGCCAGGGCTGTGGTGCGAGGATCCTGCATCGTCAGTTCAGATGCATGTGGTTGAGATCCTCTGCAAAACGTGTTTTGTTAATGTTATGTCCAAACAGGTCATAATTGGGGCACCCTGGTACCCACGCGAGAGCGTTGTGGGTCTTTCTCATTCGTGCTTTGAAAGATGAAGCATGTGCTCAAAATGAGGTAAACAAAACAGCTCCTTGGATGGGGCCATGTGGCAGTATCATCTTTGCATCGTAAGAAACAGCAGAGTCATACATCAAGTGGGGCACTGGGAACCGGCTAGCACCAGATCTAAACAAGGTGAGTTCCAGAGTAGCATTTCCCTGAGGACAGTTGGCCCTATCAGCAAGAATTCAAAAGGGGTGCTTGACACAGTGCTGTGGCAATCTGCAATGTCACCACAAGCCCAGGACAAGCAGTGGTGTTCTCATGTGGGCCTGTCCTTGGTGCATAAGGTGCCATACCTTGCATGCACTCATGGCCTCCACGACTCGTCTAAGTTCCTATCCAGCATCAACATTCATTCAATGAATGAGTGACAAACTCAATGGATCAGATCACTAATCAACGAATAAATAATACCTGAGTTGCAACAAATTCAAGAAAGAATCAAACAGACCAAAATACAGGCAACCCTTCACACCGCCCACAAGCCTCCTTTGGGATTCTTTTCCATTGTGCAAAGATGAGCAAGTCTCCAGCACAATAGGGAAAGAACATAGGAACAATGAGTAACAAAGCGGAGAGAGGTGCCACAAGGCACACGACAATATCGAGGAAGGCCCTGGCAAGACAGCCAGACAGCCAGCACCATGCTGATGCATGTCTGCAACCACGTTTTGCGAGATGTGCACATTGTGCGTTGTGGCAGTGTGCACCACCAGCACAGTGCAGGTAATGTGCAGCCCAACGGTTGTTGAGCAGCAGTATGCTAAATGACATCAAGGTGTGCAGAGCAGTGAACTAGATACTTGAGGTGGCAGCAAGAGTTGACGCAACAAGGGTCGAGAGTACAGATTGCCGGCATCGTGGAATACATACATGCAGAAGTCATGCTCGGCAGCATGGGCATGACACAGACAGCAAGCCTGATCAACCTAGGCATTTGCATGTTGACGGTCACTTCTGCTTTAATCCAGTGGCCATGCTGGGTGTGTGGCATGCGACACTGAGTGCACTGAGTAAGCAAGCAGGACACACCAAGAGAAGATGTGCAGTGCCAAGTATTGGAACTGTCACATCTATCTGGCCCCCACAGCACAGCTGCATCTGGAAAAAATGCTCATGGATGTAAGAACTATTTGTCATCAACCTGCAAGTGCTTGGGCCGTGCCTTGCCTCCTTCAGATAATGCACCCAAGGCAGGCTCTCCAAGGCCATCTCCAAACAACAGCCAACGATTGAACTGGACTTATACTCCTTGCACTTTGCATGGTAACACAAATGGCATCACCTGCTCATCCTTATATCGAGCAGAACAGCTCGCGGATACCTCTAAATGGCTGACATATGTTTCTTCACATAATGCAAAGACTTGTGTTGAGAATTATGTGACTCAACATTTATGTAGTGGAATGCTTGGTCGTCCAGGAATACAGGAATTTTCAGATTGTGTTGATGGCAGGACTGAGTAGTGAGTCTGAAGGTGCAAACAAGGCAGAACATGCAAGAATCTCACCTGGAAGGCCTGTTCAAACAGCTTGGAGGCCTCTACCACCTGGGGATGGCAACAGGCAGTGTCACCAAATTTTGCTGAACAAGTTAGTACTTTCTCACTCAGTTATTTTCAGTTGCCAAGCAACACCGTCACCACCATTGTTGGCATAACAAGAAAGAAGCAAAAGCAAAGAAAGAACAACACAACACACAAATAACCCAAGCTGGCCAAGGCATGCTCCAAAGCATGACATGTTCTCCTGGAACAAAATGTAAGTATCAACAAATTCAACAACTACACATGCCAAACTCCAAACACTTCAGCGGCCTGCATTTCCTGCGATCAGCAAGGCTCAATGACCCACCAGGTCACGTTGGTCGATGGGCCATAGTTCCCCCTCCCTGCCAATCTTCTTTGCCGTAACCACGACCCTTGCCACCTGCTGCACAAGCAGCATGTCGTACGCCTCCACAGAGGATGACGCCCTGGGGGCCGGGGAGCTTGGCGCACTGGTTGCAGCCGGACCAGAACTGATGGGTGTCGATGCACCTGATGAGATGACTGCGCCTGCAGCGCCAACATGCCCCTGCGATCCACACACACAGTTAAGTTAGAAGCAAACTTCCCAAGGTTAGGCATTGTGCATCTCTGGTATGTTTGCTGTATTGGGACCTGTATGCTTTGCGTGCCCTATGACTTGGGGAATGAGGTTTTGGCAAACAACTGTGAGATCCCTGCAGACCGCTGAAACAAATGCAGCCGGATGGCCTGAATTCAGTCGACAAATGTCATTGCCTATGTGGCATTTATCATGTTGATATGTTGGACGATCAATTCCTGCACGCTTTGATGGCACTTGCCATCAAGTGATGATGACCATACTAGACATGCGACTCCAACTTGCAGCCATAGCTTGGTGTTCACCAACAAGTGAACCAAGGTTTGTTGGCACTTAGCATTGATCTTCAATGATTTCTGACAACCTACAGCCGCAGCCTGTCAGAGGTAAACTCATCTTCCACATTATGGATGTTGTTGACTAGATACAGAGTCGACTATCAGTCGGAGGGCTTAGTAGGTGACTCGCAGAGGACACCACGTCCATGAGAGATGGACGCCCATTCGTCCCAGCATCTTCTGCTGCTGAGGCCCTGAGGTTGCACAATATGCTTGTTATGCTTTTCCCAACATTGAAGTATGCTCTGCCTTTGCTGTCGCGCCACATTGGTAGCATTTCAGCTTTTTAGTGGTGTATGTCAACACATTGTATACAAGTCAATGATTGTGAACATACATTGTGCCTGGCATCGCCCTCCAAGTCCAAGGGCAGCCACTCGCTGTATTTGATGGGTAAGATAAGAATGTCTGCATCATGCCAGCCCCTCAAATTCGGAGAACAAGTTTGGACACCGGCCGATTGCACACTGGACAAGTGCTGTGTATTTCCTCAGTTTGCCTGATCGTTGCATCTGGCACCTCTTGCATCTATGCTCTGGCAGCAGCTACGGTTCCCCAAGTTCATCCAACCCCATTAATTCAGATATCTGGGCTCTATCAGAGCACCCTTTCCCCTGTTGTGCCAGCAGCAGCAGCATCTAGCTTCTGCATGGAATACGTTTCTCAAAAGAATTGTGTGCTGTGAATGATAGGAGGGACATTGGGCCCCCAATGCCAACTGAATTTCATGGATGCATGGCTCAAACTCTACATCAGCAGAAGCGGTGCTGTTGCTTTGACGTTTGATTCGGGCTCGCCTCATGTGGGAGGCGGATCTACGGCAAGCCAGGCAGCTCCAATACGCCGTGTCAGCAGAACTGGATTCTAAGGGGTTCCCACACAGAACAACGGAACCACGTTCGAAACTCCATCTCCAGTCTCCGTCTTCAAGGCACATCCAAGCAAAGCAGGCACAGCAGGGGCGACAGCGGGGGCTGCGGCCAGATGAGCAACCCTGCTCAATCTCCACCCCCTCTCCCCATCCTTCCAGCCCGTCGGTCGGCGAGTTCCCAATCCGAGCGCGCAGCTCAGATTGCGCATCACCTCGACACGCCAATGAAACCCGCCACGCGCTGCCGGCAACGAGTTATCCTTCTAAGATTTCCTTCCGACCTGAACGCCCAAAAGGGGTGCACAACCACATCGGCGAAAGCAGTTCAGGCACGCACTGCGCCTTGGGCCCAGTCGCCTGGGTTCCGTCCTGCGACTCCCACCTTCGGGTAAATTCCATCGCCCGGGACCCCGCGACCCGAACGCACCCCACGGACCCCGATCGAACGGCCCAATACCAAGCGGAGCAGGCAAAGAGGCCATCACGGAGGCGACAGTCCCGAGGTTCCCCGCGCAGCAGACGGCCCGCCGCGCCTCCCAAGATTGAGCCGTGAGCATATCAAGGCGCTGAATTTCCACAGTGCCTTGGCCACAGGCCACCAAAGCAGCAACGCTTCAGGCAGCAACACGACATTCAACGCATTGGACTCATCGCATGGAGCGATTACCAGCAACCTGCACCATCCCGTGGGTGCGGCGGCATGGCCCACACGCCGACAGGTCCAACCAGGGCGCGGTTTTGGACGAGTAACCACCGCGCATTGGAACGCTAGCCGATTCCCGAAGGCCAGGGGGGCCATTTGAACCCGGGAGGGGCATGCGGCGGATGGCGGGGGGCTGGGGGCCCCAATCGCCGCCCTGGCTGGATTCCCACCCACCTCGAATTTCTCTAGGCGGCCCGCCACGCGCTCCAGCCGCTCCACCACAGCCTCGAGGCCGTCCTGCAACGGCAGCCGCGATCAGATTCACGAGATGCGTCGGGGACTCGGCGAAGTGCGGGTGGCCGCACGGGTGGGAGGCCCCGCGGGGAGGGCAAGGGGGGCGTCAGGGAGCGCACCATGCTGGGCGTGCCCGTCCCGGGGACGGTTCGCGGGCCTCGGGGGTGGGGCGGCAACCTTCGCGGCAAGCGCGCCCAACTGTGCGAGTCGACTGCAGGCTGTGTGACGGGGGCGGGGCAATGTATTGGCGTCGATGCCGTACTCTATCCAATACTTTCGCATTTTCGCCTGTTAAGTTTTCCGCTCTGCGCAAACAAGGGCATTTTTCGGCACGACGCGAGGCGCAATGGAGCGAGGTGCGAGGGTGTGTGTGGCGCAGAATAAAAGAGTGCGCAAACGTGGATTTTTTTGAAATGGTGCCCTGGATTTCTTGATGGGAACCCAGAAAATTCGTGCAGGCGCCCTACCAGCAACTTTCCGCATTTCGGAGGCGCTCGCTTCAAAACAACATTCTGTGCGCCTCATTTCTCCACATGCCCAGGAGTGTGCCGCAGGCAGCCGTCGGTCTGTTGCAAGCTTTTGCTTCCCAGATCTTGCTCCAGGCGTCAGCTGTTGTGTGCCCAAAACGTCTGAACAAAGCGCCGAAGTGCGTGCCCGCCCCTGCCGACGCAGGTTGGCATTGTCGTCCCTACAAAAGGGACATGGTCGTCGTGATCTAGGCAGAAGGTAGCCAAAAGGGCAAAGAAAGAACCCAGTGCTTAGTCGAGTGCCCCTGGAGAGGGGGTCCAGGCACACGCTGTACGTCGCAGCTGCCTTGTTCGGGCTGTCTGGTTTCCGTTGCTTGTTCGTTGCGGTCAATCGTCTCGATGGCACCTCGCAGTGTGCGGCCGTTGCTGGGCCTTTTGCCTGGCACTTTTGCGGCCCGAAAATTTTCGCATCAAGGATTCGAAGATTCAACTTCCGTCGACGCTTCATCGTTGCAAGGCGCAGGGTGTAGACTAGGCCGACGATTACCAAAAATTGCAGTTGGTTCTAAAATCCGCCTCA